ATACTATTAGTTAGTATTTAGTTTGATTTTATTTCACGGTTTAATTGCATCCGCTCTATTGCCCAGTACTGAGTGCGCCACTTCAGTTTCTAATGACTATATCTTCTTTATATATAATAGCCATCACTAACATYATTCAGAGAGAACATCTATGTAGTAGAGATGGTTTAAGGATACAATTTATCAAAATCATTGTCCACAATAGCATCGATAAGGCTTATAAAATAGCCTTGCTTTCCCCTTAAGATGTCCCTTAATTGTTTGTGAGATAAATAATATATGAACTAGAAATACGAGGGAGGAAAGTCTATTTGCCCCTGAAGTTGAAGTAAATTGTTGCGGGGGGCCCAACAAGTTACGTGAAAGAGATCACGCGCGACCAAACACCAACACGAGGCAGGCACGTGTCAGGAAATGGAAGAACTTTCAAAATCGATTAGCCCAAGATTAGTGTCGCTCGGAAATACTCTTGACAATATAAAACTTGACAACTATTAGTGTATAGCTGTGGGAATATTCCCTATTTAGCTATCTTCAGTCTAGATTTTGTACATTTGTTTGAAATTCTAAGATTTTGAGAACCCATTTTCGAGCTCCACTGAGTTCAATGCACAGTAAAACTGTAGCCGTGATATGATTCCATTCACCTGACGATAAAGTGGTGTTTCGTAGCAGCCCAGTACAGCAAAAAGACTGCAAAATATGCATTTGGAARATATAATGTTCAGCTTTCTTTTGGCAATCCTCGAGTTTCAGAAATAGAATAAATGGTCGTGAAATTTGTGCCTTTTTTTTCTTTTGGCGCGATACTGGTATCAGAACAACACTTGGGGCAAATGTATATATTGGTGATCTTTCACACTTCACTCTCGCAAAGTTACAGAAAACTTCAAAATAACATTTCTACTAGATTATTACTGGGTTGCATGTCGCAGCACAGTAGTAAAATGCCTTTGTTTTTTTTCTTCTCCATCTTGCGAAAAGTGCAAAGCTGCAAAAGAGTACCCATATATGGATTTGAATGACGTGTTCATAGATTAATGGCTCATACCCTGGCTTTGCAGCTGAGGCTGTAACTCCGTGCTTTAGAAGTAATATGATTTAGCTGTAGAAGTAGAAGTAGGGAATGTGGTCTATTCTTTCAAGTGTGATCTGTGTGAAGCAGGTGATGTCGGATACACGTGCAGACATCTCTATCAAAGGATCCATGAACACAAAGCAAGTGCTGTTGGCGCGCACTATAAGAACTGTCACGGGAATATTAGTAACTGTGATAAGAACTTCACCGTCCTTTATCAATGTAAAACCAAGTTCTGTTGTCTAGTTAGGGTTTTTTTTTTTATTTCCACTTACAAAAATATGAAATAATACATGAAAAAACATAAGGGTAAATTATTATGGTGGTAGAGTGCAGGAATACAACCCAAGGGTTAATGAAGAAACTTCCTACACCCTAGTAGTAATTAGGAAAAATATGGTTAAAAGTAGCGGAAAAGAGAATTACAAAAATGTGAATAGTATAGTTTGAGAATTTAGAATATTGAAAATTGATTACAAATAATCCATGATACACAAGTAAGCAAAATAAGTAGTATTATTGCGATAATATAAAAAAATTATAACGTGTTTTAAACACCTTATGAGATGAGCTTGCTTTTATTTCAAAAGGCACATCGTACCAGCTTACCGCACTTGCGTATTTCACGCCAAATTTACCATAATTCAATTTTACATGGGGCAGAGAATGCAGAGCGAGTATTATAGCTGTGAGAAAACTGAACTTCTTTTAAGTATTATTTGAAAATGTCGGGCAATTGTTGATTTACATGTTTATATGTATCTCGAAGATGTTTAAAATTCCCAGTTTTTGGAAGAGTGGCCTACTGGGAGTTCTTGGGTTTTGTAAAATATGAATAGGTAATACTTTTGTTTTATAATTACTGCCCCATATTAACGCGCCATATGATAAATACGAATAAATAAACCTAAAGTATAAACTTTTCAAGACATCAAGATTGAGATGGTGTCTGCATTTATACAAGATTCCAATTGATTTAGCAATTTTCCTTGAGATATAGTTAATGTGTGAATCCCACGACTGGTGTTCGCCTAACAACAGCCCTAAAAACTTTGTGCTATTGGTTTTGAAACGCAATAAGTCCTGGACATTGCCAGCCACAATACTCTTAAATTTTGGCGAGAACCAAGTATGAGATTTGTTTTTGTTATGTTGACCGTCTGAAGCCAATCCATCAAGTAAAGCAAGTTCCTTGTTCAAGAATTGGACAGCATTTTTAGCTGATTCATGATGGAACACAAGATTCATGTCATCAGCATATAATAGCAAGTGAATAGTCTTTGTTACAAATTGAGCATCGTTAACGTAAATGAGAAATAATATAGGTCCWAGTATTGACCCTTGCGGCACCACATACGATATTGGCAAATAATTTGATTTTTTCTTCTTCAATACAAATATATTGCTTTCGATCCTTGAGATAACTTTGAAACTATTTTAGCATACTGTCCGAGATACCATAATAAGAAAGTTTATCAAGTAGAATATCATGGCAAACAGTGTCGAGAAATACCCCAAGGAAATTTTGTCGTTATCAATCGAATCATTTATTCTAGAGACGAAATCAAGAATTGCCATCATTGTGTTTGGTTTTTTTTTCCTAAACCCGAATTGATAATCATAAAGCAGGTGGTTGCGATCTAGGTGTTCAGTTAAATTTTCACAAATGATTTTTTCGAATATTTCACGAGAAAGGGGACAATAATGATACTATGGGTCTGTAATTAGAWACTTGATCACGATCACCATTTTTGAAGACAGGAACAACTTTTGCAATTTTCATTTCGTCTGGAAATGTACTAGCATTAATGGAAGAATATGAAAGATGTGGCTGACATATAAACTCTGCCACCTTCTTTACGAAGTATGTGGATAACGAATCATGGCCTACAGCTTTGGAACAGTCAAGGCTGTAAAGTCCATCTGACTTTAAAATGCGATATTGCTTGTAAGTTTAATTCGTTAGAACAATGTATCTTCATCCACTCTTTATAACAGGTGGTMTTATTACTAAATTCCTTAGCTAGAGAAGGGCCTACATTTGTAAAGAAGATGTTGAAAGCATTGGCTATGACGGTCGTCCCTGTATAGCGTTTGTTATT